CACTTTTAATTACAAAATTATCAATTTCCCAACATATTTATGTTAGGTATGTAATTATACGTAATACAAGCTTCAATTTAAGGTAAAATTCAACCACAAACAATTCACAAAACGTTTTAAAGTGTTGGCTTTATCGATAAACTTTGAGTTTGCAATAAAATGATTTCAAATTCTCGCTTGCAAGTAACTTTGCTTTATTTTTTATTTAAAAAATTCAATATAATAAAAAAGGGAATCAATATTAAAGATACACTGAAATTATATGCTGTCTTGTTTAGTTGTTTCATATACGCAAAGGCCGTCGGGTTTTAAAGCCCTCGTTAAAGCCATTATAAAATCAATATTTAAAACAAACTTACCTTCGTTAACGTCGGCTCCCTTCTTTTAGCTGATTCTTTCGCCCTTTCTTTCTTGAAATTTACAAAATCTTGCAGAAATACGAGCAAAAATGAAGAATATTTGCAAAAAATTTATCAATCATCAACTCATCAAATCAAGAAATGTTTGCTATTTCGCTGTCGTCATGCAGCCGTTATAATGCAAACTTTAAATTGGACCAATCAGTGTCCGTTATTCATGATAGTCCGCCATATTTTTGAGATCAGTGAGGATGACCACCCATCGTTGGTGACCGACGCCCGCGCTCATTGATGAACTTTAGACTTCCCTAATGCTTTCGTTTCTCCGGGTGTAAATAGCCGGGGGGAATTAGTACCCTCGCACGGCGCTTCGCGCCGCCGGCTCGGGGAAAATATCTTAGTCTATCTCGCTTGGCGCACTCAAGAGGACATCGACGTCTTTCTACGTGAAATATTAGTATTATGCGGAATATTTCCACGTGAACCGGCAATCGTCTCTAATTTGGAAATCGGAAAGCAATACTCGCTCTAAAAACGTTATCGCTCGGTCAATACAGCAAGACCTCGGTTGGATATTTTCCCGTACTGCCCTCACTCTCGGTCAGTAAGTTATTAATATATACAGTATATACCCGGGCATGGCTGTATTTGAAGCCCTACAGCCTTTAATTCAGTCAAACGACGCATTAATTACCTACAGTATATAGGCAATATAGCCGCTGGTATACACTGCTTGGGCTATCTTTAAAACAAGGAATGGGGAATCCGGGAATCGGGCAATCCGGGAATCGGGGAATCCGGGAATCGGGGAATCCGGGAATCCAGAACTGATAAGACGGGGATATTAGTGTACTTGTTGGAAAACGCATTCGCTACTGAATACAATGCGAATCAGTTGTCATAAATAACTTATGCTTATGGTATATTATGGATTATAACAGCGCTGTGCACATATGTGATTTTAATAACATTTATTATATAAAGTATAGTGCTTTATAGAGATTTCGAGCACTGATTAAAGTGATAATCTCAAATGTGAGATTATTTATGATAATCTCACGTGTGAAAATTATCGCTTTTCAATTTTCGCTTTTCTTTAATAATTATCGCTTTTCAAAAACTGTCCTTTATATAGTCTATATAATAAACAGAAAAATACATGGGTGCTTGGAAATACCAGATTTTTTTCTCGTGTTGAACATGATATCTCACTCGTTCGCTGCGCTCACTTGTGAGATATCATGTTCAACACTCGAAATAAATCTGGTATTTCCAAGCACCCATGTATTATTCTCTATATAATTTTATTAATTTCAATTAGACATTAGCGTCTATAGAATAAAACTAAAGACACGCTTTATATGTTAAATATTAATTTTAGCCAAAGGGGGCGCAATTCGGCGGCGGCGATGCGGTATGTTTTTAGTTTTCATTCACGGATACTTTGCAATCCCAAATTACTTACAGTACTTTAAAATTAACATATTTTTTATTATTTTTTAACAACTAAAAATCGCGCAGATTTGGTTTAAGCAGATGTTGGAGTTTTTAAACTCCACAGTAATGTCTTAAAGTATTCGTGAATGAAAATCGTACCTCTTCGCCGTCGAATTGCGCCCCGTTCGCTTTAATTGCTGCGGAGCGAGCGAGCCTGAAGCGAGCGAGCGTAGCAGCAACCTAATATATGCAGAGAGGGGGTTTTGAACTAAATTTTATTTAGCGCATTTTATTTAGCGCGTTTAAACTCGTTCGAGTCTTTGATTTTTACCGAATTTCTAAAGCTTTTTCATGTCTAATGTTACGCTTACATTTGTATTGGACTTTGGCGACTGTCAGTTCTATATTTTTATAAAGTTTTGGTTTCTTAGTGTGATAAATCTGTGTATATAGTCTATATAATGTGGTAAATGCGTCTAGCAGTAAACAGACTTGATATGAAATCTGTATGTCAATGAGACGCACATGTTTAATATCTGTCACCTCTGATTGCCCTTTAACCCCTGGTCTTTGCTACTTCAATATATATTGCTTCTTCCTAGTTCCATTCACAGCTCACTAGTCGCTGCGAGTAATCACTGTGCTTGGTGTAATCTGTGCTGTTTACTGTAGTTCTATTTGCTTTTAATGCCAGCAGCAATCCCTACCTTGCAGGTACCCTAGTATTTAACATATAAAGCGTGGGCTTTTAGTGTTATCCCGTTTCCTGTATGATGCATGCATTTTGCAGTCTATTAATCCAAAAAACTTGCGCGTTGGAACAAAATTCTATAGACGCTAATCTTTAATTGAAATTAATAAAATTATATGTTATTAAAATCACATATGTGCACAGCGCTGTTATACATATATAATATAACATAAGCTATATAGTAAGTCAACTGATCCGCAGTGTATACTGTATGTTCATCGTCTGTATTATTCTAAACAAAGTAGCAAATGCGTTTTCCAACAAGCACACTAATATCCCCGTCTTATCAGTTCTGGATTCCCCGATTCCCGGATTGCCCCATTCCCGGATTCCCCCATTCCCGGATTCCCCAATTCCCGGGTTCCCCGATTCCCCATTCCCTGTTTTAAAGATAGCCCACTGCTTGTAGTTGTAGACTTGTAGGCTATATGGAACGGTACAACATATCTGATCGATATTGTCATATTGAGGAACGACGAAAGCCTTCTGTGAGGGAAACAAATTACTAATCTGATGTATTTCTGTTCGAGTTTATTAAACAGTACTTGAATCAGTAAAAGCGCGACTAAGTCGATTTTCCAAGCCGTTGTAACTTATTGATAAAATGCATGCCTAATTTCTCAGTACTTGATCGAGCTTTGTTTCAATTTCTTGGTGTAATTTCCCGATGAACTTTATTTTATTCGGGTATCAAACTCATATAGCAACTTTATCCAGATTCAAATTACCGTGCATGATCTGTGCCATGTAAAACGTAACATTAAAGCTTGCGCGAGGGAAATTATCAATCAATGTCAATTATCACACAAAGATCACAGAATATTTATCACTCAATATTAAATTAATATAAGTGGACAAAATTCATTTCAATCCGCTAATAAACCCGTTTATCAGTGATAGTAACTTAATAAATTCACTGGGACACAGTGTACGCTGGATTACAGTAAAACATTATTTGACAGTAAAACATTATAATTATTTGATAGTAAAACATTTGCTATCATATTTTTGCCGGTTGAATTGAGTATAACATTACAGTAGTTCTGTTTATGATAATAAATAAGACAAATAACTTTATACATTACTTATAACCTACAGTGAAATTCATATCACGGGTGCCGGTATACTATACGGCATGTTTTACATAGTATATAATAAAGACCTACATATATAATCGCAATATTGAAATATAAATCTTGTATTTAAAAAGCATATGATAACCGTTGTAGTCGGGAAACGGCGGATCTCGCTCACAAAGTCTCACATGTTTGTTGTTTTTCCCGATACTCAGGTCGCCCCGGCCGCGAACAGGCTTGCTTCCCACAGTAACCCAATACACCTATCTCTAATGTGTTCGTTCACGCTCCCCTCTAAAATTAAATGTTTTTCTTAATTTTATAATTAATATCAACTAGAAAGTTAAAGTTGGCAATCAAATGTCCGACGTTATGTCGAGTTCAATTCTTCAATCTTCTTCCTCTTGTATCAACTGCAGTATTTTACACCTAGCGTCCTTTGCTGCTTGTCTCTTACTCTTTCGTTGTCCGATTTCGTCCGTTTCTTTTGGCTTCGTCTTTTTTGGCTTCGGTTCTTCAATCTCTGTTTCCTTGAGTTCGAGAGAGTAAACAAGAGAAAGCGGTCTTTCAATCGTATGTCCCTTCGTCAAGATCTTTACTCCTCGCACAACGTTGTCCTTGCCCTTGATTAGCTCAACAACTTTTCCCCGTTTCCATTCAGCTCGATTCTTTTCCTCACCGACCACCAACATCATTTCTCCCACTTCTGGACACGCATTTTCCCCTTTAATCACTCGATGATGTTCCATAAAACTATGTACGTACTCCGTCTTCCATCTTTGCCACGCGTGTCCTCGTTTCTGCTTCATTCGTTTGTGTAACTTCACGACTTCTTCTCCATCATCCGTGTCTGATTCGTCAATGGTATGCACATTGTCAATTCACACAATCAAATTTATTCTGCTCTTTCTTGCGATGAAGGCGTTTAGCTTTACTTTGAATTCTTCTGCCGATTGTGTCTTCGTCAACTCCAGATGCACGGCTCTGGATGTAGCACATGTAAATATTAGGATGTAGCACTTGCCTTCTTCTTTCTTGGTAAGCTTATATGTGAGGGGACCCGCGAAATCAACACCCGTTGTTTCAAATGGTCGTCCGCTTTCGATTCGAAACGTAGGTAGTTCGGCAGTTGCTGTACGACCATATGGTTTGACTCGGTACGCTTTACATACGTTGCATTCGTTAATGATCCTTTTAACTTTCGAGCGCAGTCTCGGAATCCACCAGTTCTCTCTTAGTGCGGCCATCGTGTTCGCGATACCAAAATGACGTATCTCATTGTGTGTATGCATGATCAATTTGTCCGTAAAGTCTCCTCCTTCCAAGTATATCGGCTGATACCCGGGAATTCGACCTTTACATTTCAGTAAACCAGAATCACCTTCTCGTATGACTTCCCATCCAGGTCCTCGTATGTCTTCTTGGACCTTCTTCACCCATCGCACTTTCGACTGTTCTAGCTCGTTCGTCGTCAGCGGACCTTTCGCTAGGTTAGTTTTCTGTTTTCTGGCTCTTGCATTGCTTACAAATCTTAACGCCCACGCAGTAACACGAATAGTCTTCCAGTAGCTTGATCTAGAAAGTAGCAAGTCCCATTCGTCCGGATCTTTTTCTTGCGTATTGAAAGCTACTTCCGTCATCGGCTTTTGCTCGACCAGGACAGTCTTTGTTCTCTCGAGCTTTGGTTGTTTTGGCCATTTGTCTGGGTTTACTAGCCACTCGGGACCATTAAACCAACCGTCCTTTTCCATTTTGTCGATCGAAGCTCCCCGACTCCCTAAATCAGCTAAATTTTCCTCGGATGGACAGTACTTCCAACTGATGCCTACTTCTTCCGTAATTTCAGCAATCTTCCGCGTCCGATTTGATACAAAGATTTTCCAGGATCTTTCTGGGCTAGCAATCCAAAACAAAGCAACCAGGCTGTCCATCCACACTGCAACTGATGCAATTGGCCATCTTCTCAATGCGGCAACCAAATTCTTAGCCATATTGGCAGCCATCTGACCGCTAACTAATTCCAGCCTTGGTATGGAAGTGTTTCTCTTGGCAATTCTGGACTTTGACGTAAGAAGACCTTTAACTATTCCACTGGAATGTTCGATTACTGCTATACTGACCGCCGAGCACGCTGTGAAACTTGCATCAGCAAATAAATGCAAATGTATAGCTTTCACCTTTCGAATCTCCTTTGCTAGACTTCTCGGAATTTTCACGTTTCTTAACTGTTGTCGCCACTTTATCCAATCTTTGGACGTGCTGGTAGATACTTCTGAATTCCAGCCGACTTTCTCATCACACGCTTCTCTATAGATGCGCTTCCCTTCAACCATGGTCGGCGATATTATTCCCAAAGGGTCATAT